GGTTCACCAAATGGGTCTCATTCCATCTGATTTCTTCTTTCCACCCTCATCAGCGACAGTTCCTTCACGAGTAAAAGGCCCCGCTCATTCTTACCTTCAACCTGCGGCCTTGTATGGCTGTAGTTTCCCAGGAGCACGTAAACGCTTTCCCCAAGTACAAGTGTCGTTGGTCGCTTTATGCCGTTTGAGGTGTTGATACCCTCAGACCCTTCCTTTAGAAGATCTGCGCCAAAGATACTTGCATCTGCCGTCGAGATCTCCGTTGGACCAGCATCAACATTTAAACCAAGGTACTTTGACGCAATCCCAGTAAAGCTGACGTCGCTGCACTTGTCTCCATCCTTGCAATGGGCTTCAGCAATAGCAAATAAATGACCCTGCACCTCAACAAGGCTGGGGACGCGGAGCGAAGCACTTTCGGTATTGATCCCAACGTCCTGCCAAGTGGCATCTATCCTTTTCGTCCCTGTAAATGGATTAATGGCAATAATTGACTTACCGCCCCCGGCGGCAGCAGCTTCACCAGTGCCGCAGCACATCATCAAGACGAGGAGGAGCAGCACCGCAGAATCAAACACACGCCGGGACATGTTGGGCCTCGGCGGCTCACCCTCTCCTCCTTCCCTCCTCTTTCCGCCGGATCCGGTCATGCGGCGACGGTTGTGTGTGCGGGGCGCCATGACTGCAGCAACACGTGAGAGCATACAATTATGTGTGTGCGGGCGGTGTGTTTGCTGTTGGTCCTTTCAGAGCCTTCGAATTTCACAGTGGCGATTAGCGCTTGTTTTCTTTCTTTCCTAGTGTGTCTGTGTTCAAGAAGTGGAGAGTACAGCAGCAACAGCGGCAATACATCAGAAAGGTCAGTGAGAATCAGAGCACAACACCCACGCAGTGAGCGGGACACGAGACAATCCGGAAGGGACGGCACGGAGGACCATCGCCCACAGAAAAGAGCAGCAACACGGCAAGTCACGGCGGGCCGTCGGTGTGTGCAGACCAACCCTCACGCGGTGTAACACGCCACACCCAACAGGGAATGACAGACAGACAGGCGGAGATGAATGGACGCCGTCAAGAGGCACTCAGAATCAACATGGCCCGTGAGCATTTGGCCACTCCACGCAGGAACACAGGAGAAAATGGTGAGAGGGAAAAGCAAGAAGCAGCACAAACACACAAAAGAAACAAACGACAGGCGGGAAAAGCACCGCCACGGCCCTCGCCCTGGCCGGCAACTCCACACCAGCCCTCACACACACACCATCGCAGTGCCGTCAGTCCGCGGGTCAGAAAGTTCGGTCCTCCACACA